CTGCTTATGTTGCCTCCTACTGCTTTGAGGTAAGTTGTGATTTTTTTTTCTTTGTCTAAAATATCCAGGCATGTAGATTAGTCCAAAAAGATGAGTGTTTTGTATGATATCGCAAATTAACCAATGAAACACTTGACAGTGTTTAGATTTGTATCATAGTTGGTTCAGATCTGATAGTTTAATATCTGATTGTTAATATTCTGTAACAGGCCAGTGAAGATATAACATGTAATGAAAATATTATGTGTTGCACATTAAAATAAATAATAATAATCATTAGAACTTGCACTTTGAACTCAGAGTGGCTCTAGTGTTCATAAAGAGTGTGAGATATACACGTATTGTCTTTTCTGGATAGTGTTTTCTGTATTTATATCATGAAGTGTAAAGTATCATAAGTTATGTTTTAATGTAACAATAAAAGTTTTAGTGTTATTAAACTTCCTGCTTCATCTATACAACAGTGGAGGGAGAGTACTTGGAGAGAAATGTGACATGATTTTTTAAATATTTAAACTTTCTGAATATAAAGTGTTCCCTTTTTAATGTTTTTTTTTCTTTAAATTTACATCTAGTACAATGTCTGTTGTTCAATCCTCAGTTATTCCAGTTTGATATTTCTAAACAAGTTTCTTTCAAATATAATATTATTTTGAGGCTGTTCCTACTGTCTGGCAAGAATTGACTGGTATTAACTACTCCAAAGCTACTCCTGTAATCATAATAAAGAGAAGCTTGAGTGTCAGGATAATCAACACACAAAATTCCAGTAATTGTTAGCCATCAAATGTTTTTGAAAAGCTCTTGTATTGAGTTTGTTCTAGTCATTTTTCAAGAACTGAGTGGTGTTAACTAATGCAACTTATGATTTAGATTGAAACTCAAATCACGGAAACATTAACAAACACAAATTTACATGTATGAAATTTTGAAAAAGCTATTTGTTGGATAATAGATTTATATCTGTACAACTTTTTTGTCCCTAACAGGAAGACATGATCATGTACAACATTTAAGGTACAAGTACATTCAAATTGCAAGTACATTCAATCAAATAATTGGGTTTATGATACTATTTCTATCTGGTTTCAATTGTAATTAACTTAATACAAATATAACGACAATCCTGTGCTAAAGGACAATACTTAGAGGAAAGGTAGCCAAGGTGTCTCTGGATGAGATGCATCTCATAGAAGAGCCTTTCATTAGAGTAACTGTGGATTTAATTGGACCACAAGCACCTGTTTTTGACAAGGGCAATTGGTATGTGCTGACAGTATTCGACTATGCGATAAGCCACAGTTCGACCAAAAATAGAGACAGAGAGAGTAGCTGAGGCTCTCCTGGAAGTGTCTGCAGAGTAAGCTTTCTGAAAGAAGTCCTGCATGACAGAGGGACTCAGTTTACTTCAGAACTGATGCAAGAGGTGTATAGACTCATCAGTACCAGGCAACTCTTTACCACTCTGTACAACTCTAGATGTAATGGACTTTGTTAGAGAGTCAGTTGAGTCTTAAAGAGCATGCTGAAGAAGATGTGTCAGGAGAGACCACGTGACTAGGACAGGTACCTGCAAGCAGTATTATTTGCTTACGAAGAAGTCACACAAGCGAGTACAGGATTTTCACCTTTTGAATTGCTGTACGGAAGAACAGTATGAGGTCTGATTCAGATATTGAAAGAGCTGTGGACAGGACAAAAAGAGTCAGAAGTGAAGAACACATACCAGTAAGTGTTAGACCTCAGAAACAACTGGAGGAGACCTGTCAACTCGCTCAAGAGAGCTTGTAAGCAGCTGAAGACAGTTAAGAAGGCCAAGGATCAATGTGTAAAGGTTGAACAGAAGATCTTGGTTCTGCTATCTACAGACAACAACAAACTCACTCTGCAGTGGGAAGTATTCAACAGAATGGACTATAAGGTGAAAGTGAATAGGAAGACCAAGATATACAATGCCAATCTGTTGAAGAGTTCTTCAAGAGGGAAGAAGATCTAATTAGTGCAGCTACTGAGGCACAGATGGATGTGGCAGATGTAGCTGTCATAGAAGATGAAGACCTACTAGACCTAAGACCACTGGATGGAGACGAGACATACAAAATGTCAACATCAGTGAAGAACTGACTGGCAAGCAGAATAAAGAGCTAAAAGATCTGCTATTCCAGTATGCAGATGTTTTCACAGATAGACCAGGCAAAGCAGACCGACCTTATGTAACTCAAGATAGAGACCATGACCAGGGATCCAGACAAGGTGAAGCTCTCAGATGCCCTATGTAATAAGAGACCTGATAAAGCAGAAAGTTGAGGCAATCTCAGAAGCTGGAATCATCGAGCCTTCGAATTCTACCTATTGTTCACCAGTGGTAATTGTGAAGAAGAGGGATGGTTCAAACCGCTCCTGCATAGACTTCTGGAGGCTGAACCTTGTGACAAAGGCTATCATGGCGAAACTAGATAGAACCAAATTCTTTTCAAAGATCGATCTCAGTAAAGATTATTGGCAGATTCCATTGGAGACAGGATCTAAAGAGAGAAAAAAAAGCCTTTGTGATACCAGATGGATGATACCAGTTTTGAGAATGCCATTAGGGTTAGTCAACTCAGCAGCAACATTCAACCACATGATAAGGAAGATGTTGCACTAAACCACGAACATTCAGCATTATGTGGATGACATTCTGTCTCACACAACCAGATGGGAAGACCACCTGAAAAAACTTAAAGAGCTGTTCAAGTGAAGGCAGCAGGTCTGATGGTCAGACAGTCTAAGTGCTATATTGGCTATTCTATGCTGGACTTTGTTGGACATAAGATGGGTGACCAGTAGATTGCCATGGAAGAAGAGAAGCTTCAATGAGCAACCAGCAAGTCACATCCTTCCTGTGATTAGCAGGATACTACAGAAAGCTCATCCCACACTATGCTGAAGTTGCTGCACCACTGATTGACCTAACCAAGAAAGGCCTATCCAACAAGGTGAATTGGAACAACCACAACAGATGGCATTCCAGAAGTTAAAGAACCTGTTTCAAAGTTTTTTAATTCTTAGAATGCTACACTTCAACAAACCATTCATCATTCTGGCTGATGCATCAGACATTGGAATTCGAGCAGGACTCCTACAAGAACATGAATATAAGTAAAAAAAACTGTTGAGTAGTGAGAAGAACTACTCTGTGATCGATTGAGAGTGTCTGGCCATCATATCTGCCATCCATTAGTTCCAGAACTACCTCTACGGGAAGGAGTTCATCATTCAGACGAACCATCAGCCCCTTGCATACATCCAGAGGTGAAAAATCAACAGTGTGAGCATCATGAGGTGGGTGTTGTACCTCCAGAACTACTGGTTCCACATTGAAGCCATCAAGTGGACTGCAAATGTTGGTGCAGACTGTATGAGTAGATTTTATGTATCAACTGAAAACAATCTTTGTATATAGTACAAGAAAAAAATACTGTGAATATTTTTATGAAGAGGGGAATTATTGTTGGATATACAAGGGTGTTCAGTTTAAGTTATTATTTAGTTTATTTAGTGATTTAATATTTAATGATTATTTAGTTTTTATAAACAGTGTTAAAAATTGATTATTTTAAAAGTGACAGTTGTGACAAATTTTGTTACATAACTCTGTACGAGTTGTAGGTTGTGTATGTAGTTTAATTGTTGTACTAAGATTTTGTAATATTATTGATGTCATCTCACTTGAAGCTTCTAAGTTTTTCTTGCTTAATATGATGTTATTAGAGAGCTAGACATTTCTAGATTTTTCTGTTGCATGTCATAAATACGTGCAGATACAGAGAGGACAGTAAGTAAGTGAAAGTGAAGGTAGACTTTGTGATTGTCAGTGTAGCCATAATGGTCAATTTCTAAAGTGAGTTTCACAGCTGGTATCGTAACAACAGAGATAGAGGAGAATAATTTATCTTGTCAAAGGGTATTCTAAAGTGATTGAACCCACCTGTATGACAAAAAAAGATATAATTATTTAAGGCTCTGGATAGAACTGTGATAACCAATAGTGTAATGAATTTTGTTTGTACATACATTTGACTTGTTTTGAATATATTATGTGCTGTCCTTTTTTTGTTAAAATTTAACCCCAACGGATCACACGTACCTACAGTAAAGAATTGCATTCCTGTAAAACCTGACATTGATTTTCAATCATATGTTCATTTACATCTTACTCGTTTTGTTGTTTTTTTTGTTCCTTGCATTTGGTTGTTATTTTTGTATCTGTTTCTCCTGTATTGAACTTTTTGCAATCTAAAAATTTTATTTCATGCACCATGCCATTGCCATATTTTTCATTATTATATAACTTTGGGGGAAAGCTTTTAATTTTAGCTCCTCATTTATTTGCAATTTCAATTTTTATGTTTAATTTATTTTACTCTAATTTATACCGTAAGCTAATTAAATTGTCACTAACACCTACAAATTGTACTGTGTGTCCATCATAAATTGGTTAAATTTAGCTGACATTTACACCTGGAACCCATGATTCTATACATTTCCTGTGTAACAAATCCTTAACACGCATTTTTAAAGTTAAGCTTTTTCAGTAAACATTCATAAAACTTAAAACATCTAAATGCTTCTACAAAGGCCCCCCAGTGGCACAGCGGTATGTCTGCGGACTTACAACTCTAGAATCAGGGTTTCGATACCCGTGGTGAGCAGAGCACAGATAGCCCATTGTGTAGTTTTGTGCTTAATTACAAACAAACAAACAAACTTCTACAAAGGATATACATGTACCTTATTTACGTACATAAAGATAATTTATTAAATCAACTAATCAAGAGCAGTGATAGTTTTCTAGGAGAGGAGGTAGTGCATATGGACATCCAACAACGTGTGGAAAACTTGAATCTCTTTCACGGGATCTGGGTTGTTAAACATTCTTAGGTAACTTAATAACAAGGTTTGACCTCCTATAAATCTTAGATTTGTATCTTTTTCCTTTATATAATACTTTCACGGGATCTGGGTTGTTAAACATTCTTAGGTAACTTAATAACAAGGTTTGACCTCCTATAAATCTTAGATTTGTATCTTTTTCCTTTATATAATACTTTCACGGGATCTGGGTTGTTAAACATTCTTAGGTAACTTAATAACAAGGTTTGACCTCCCATAAACCTTAGCTCCGTATCTTTTTCCTTTATATAATACTTTCACGGGATCTGGGTTGTTAAACATTCTTAGGTAACTTAATAACAAGGTTTGACCTTCCATAAACCTTAGCTTCATATCTTTTTCCTTTATATAATACTTTTCTCTTCTGCACAGTTTTTAAATAATTTTTTGTTTTCAGATTATGACCAAATTTTCTATAACTTGTTGAAATGCTCTCTCTTACATTTAGCTTCTGTCCACATACTGGTTAAGTGTTTGGGTTGATGATCAACCTCTACCTGATGGATCCCAGGATGTTGATTTGCGTAACTGGAGGCTAACTGTCTATGGATTGCTAGGACTAACACAAAGTAAGTTTTTTTTTATCTCGGTTATTTGCTACATGGTAACATTATAATTCACTGTTCCTAAATGATTATTGTTAACAGTTGAAGAAGAGAGTGTGAATCCACTGTCTTTAAATTCTGATACAATACATACCTTCTCTCACGCAATAGTTTCTCTCGATCTTCCACTGCCCTTTAATCCATTGAAAAGAAATTTTCTCACTTGACGTGCTAGCCTTTATACCCAACAAGTCCAAGCTGCTCATTTAGCATGCATAGACATGCAACAACCCTCCATTGACTTTAAACTTTGGACATAACCAACGTTTTTGGTTAAAGATCTGAGGTTAGGTTCATTATTTTATTTACTTGCCCTCTTTCTCATTAGAAATTTGTGAAGATATATAAGAATATTTTAACAATGGTCCGAGAATGTGAGTCAGCAGTAATTTTATGGAATTACAACACTAAAGTTACGAGTTTGATTCCCTGAAGTAGACAGAGTGCAGATAATGCATTTTGAAGCTTTGCACTAAAAGACAAATTATCACAAATCTCTCCAGAGAGTGAACTTTATGATGAAAATAACTGAACTTGGTTGGAAGATCATAAATATGAAATTCTGTTTATTATTTAATACAAAGTAGATAATTCTTTCAGCTGTTGACCAATTACGTTACATTTCGACTCAGTTTTTAAAGCACCATATTTTCAGAGTAATCAAACTTTATATTTCAAAACTGATTTTCAAAATCTGTAAGTGATCAAAGCACTTTATACCATAAAACTTTTTATATATAATATGTTCTTGCAAGTAACCTTTGTATTAAGATTCTGTTTCTTCACTCCAATTAACTTGTAGTCCCTCTGTAGTACAGTGGTAAGACTTGCGATACTAAAATCCAGGGGTTGGTTTTCCTGTGGTGGACAAAGCAGATAGCCTTATGTGGCTTTACTCTCGAACAAAGCAACTAACTTGTACATTGGTCACCTCAATCTGGTTTTGTCATATAGTGTTTTTGTCACTAATCCAATAAAGTATATATATATATATACAATATTAGGATCATCACAAGAAAAAACTGATAACAATTTATTTTGTAAAGCATTTGTTTGTAGTGCAAGTGATCTTGGGGTTAAATTCTGAGCACAGGAGATACTAAAATTAACATAGAAAACTGTGGTAAGGTGTGAATTCAAGCTTTGTTTGTCAGAGGGAAAGGATGTGATAGTTTGAGTTTAAAAGTGTCTCAGTGAGTTAACTCACTAGCTCACTTGATACAGCACTCACATGACATGACATAACACTTGGGTTCAATACCATGCGCTGAGAAAAAAGAAATATGATAACAACTAGGATTACTACAATATTACGAACTCACTTGACTTAAAAACATTAACTGTTAGTTCAGTAGTACCTGACTTCATACAGAAAGTAAAATCAGTGCTTTTAATAAATTTCACTATTGTGTGTTTATATCTTCAGTAAATTTAAATTTTAGTTTGCTTCTGCACATGCAGAGGGCTGAGTACATTATACACTGCATTAAAATAGGTATCTAGGCCTAGATACTTATTTTAAAGCAGTGTACCACAAACAAACACATTTGTATTGCTCAGTACCTTGTTGCCCACTGAATGCTCTGGTAAGAGGGCCAAAATTTGCAAATGAAAATATTTTAACCCTATCACAATGGGTATTCTTTACTGCACATTACACAAGGTTTTAGTGTCTTACATTCAAAATTTGATTAAACTACTATTTGGTTATGTTATACCAATTAGTATAGCATAAAATCGTAGCTAATAATCCATATTTTAATAGTATATAAGTTTTAAGTTCTTAATTTTATAAGGCAATATTTAGAAAAATCCTAAATTTCCCCAAGTGTGACACACATGACACATTTTCTCTAGGCATGCCCTTTTCTCTATTTTATCCACCACCCCTCCAATAACTACAAAATTAAACATAAATTACTCACTGTAAAATCGTCATTGTTCAGACAAACCATAATTTTTATAGCCTTCAATTTTGTTTGGTTACAGAGTTATCAAATAGAAAATCAGACCTCTCTTGCCATACCCACCTGTCACATTTTCTCTTTCAGGATTTGTTAATAGTTCTCATTTAAGCTTAATTATATATTATCTATAACCAATAGAAAGCCAAGGTTTTCATCTATTAATCAACATATTATATTAAGTTGTGTTCTGAACAGAGAAGTGTCAATTTCACTTTTAGTACCAGGAAGATAATGAATAGCTTGGATGACTTTGTAACAGCACTTGTCGCATAGTTAGAAAGCCAGAAAAATAGTGATTGTTAGAGGAAATTGTCTCCATTTTGCATGTTATTATTCTATGTTCTTTGGTGCATTATTTAATTAAATAAAAATTATTTTGTGCATTACTACCATTAGTATAAAAAAGTAGGGTTAAGTGTCATCAACAATCCACAGCAAAAAAAAACAATACTTGGGTAAGTACTTTATTACTTGTTTTTCATGTTAATTCTTTATTTATTATTCTAAAAGTAACTAAGATGTAAAAATAGGGATCTCTTTAGGTTAGTTAAGGTTAGATTAGGTAAAATAAATAGTATTATAATAAAAATGTTTCACGAGGCACGCATGCAAGCAGCTCATGGGTAATGTAATTCAGTAGTGTAACATGAGCTTCACATTCCCCAAGTGACTTACAACTTATAATGAATATAACGAATAGTAGTTAGACACAGTTCAAAAGGCAATAAAACAATAAAATTTAATTATAAATAGTTGTATAATGTTACAAGTTTAAAGCTACTTAGGATAAACAAATGTTGTTTCATGTTACAATTTGAAGTCATTCTAGAAAGGAAAAAAAAGAGTTATTTAGAATTTTTTTTTCAGAAGTTACGAGGTCAGTCAAATTGAGCAAACGAGTAGAGTTAGGATAGAGAAAATAATAGATAAAATATAAAGTTTTACTGAAAACAAACATTTGAAATGTGTTTAGGAGGTTTTAGAGATTACACAAATGAAATTTGAGATTTTTGAGGTAAAGAAAAATATTTCTAATCATAACATGAAAATCACGTAGCACACGGACTATTAAAATACTTGATATATTCGTAGACAAATCTTTTTTTAGTTTATTTAAGATACTTTACTAAAAATTATTACTTTTTGTATGTGGAAGTCTTAAAATGTTTACCAAAAGATTGCTAAATTTTGTGAAGATATACATACTATATTAAAAGTTAGTAGTATCAAAACTATAAAGACTTTAATTAATCAAATACAAAGAGGTCACGTGGTCGGTCAAATCAACTGAACCCATGTTGAGAGAGTTAATGTAGAGAAAAGTCTGTGTATAATTCTAGATATAACCAATATAACGTGACAATGGATTGGCATGTATCAAAACTAGATTTTGACACTGTTGTTGCGTCATCGAGGTCACGTGACTGGTGTGGCGCCACCTATTTTCTAGAACTATCCTGTACCTTGGCAAATGCTCTAGTATTTACTAGATATAGGGTAGTCTGGTATATAAAAGAGGGTGACAACGTAACGGGATAATAATGTGTGTGTGTAGATAGTGAGTAATTGTACTGCAGTCAGAAGTATTATTGACGTTCGTTGATATAGCGTTTGTTTTAGCGTGATTGTTGAAAATAAGTGTATCGTAAAGTTGTATTCGGAAAGAATAAACCAGTTTTATTAAGTAAGGACTTGTGTCGCTAAAGTTTCGTCGGAACGAAGTTACGGAAAGTTAATTAACAAACGGAGACGTAACAATATTTTACATTCAATAGGTAGTATGAGTCCACTGAAAATTGATCAGTTTGTGAAAGGTATTTAATAGCCCTTTTTTATTCAAAATATCTAAGCACTCAGATCATAAAGGTGTGTTCAGATCAAAGTTTTAGAATTTATTGTACTTAATGCCATTAAAAGAATTTGGATCAACTTCATGAATCAGAGCCATCCAGAATGAGACCTGCCATAACTTTACCTAGGCCTTTGTAAGCAAAGTGCTACATTTTGTAACAAGTAAGAATCCATGAACACAAAGGTCAGTTGGAAAAGCTGTCCACATGTCCCAAACAGCATGATTCAACATAATTGGGAAGGATCTCTCTCTGAAAAAGCATCACAGGTCACATGTACATAAACTGCTCCCACAACATATTTGTCCAACTGTCACATACCTCAAATAGCTGGAGAATAAAATGGATATTCCTTATAAAGACATAAGAGTCAGATTGCTGGATGTACTGTGTATGGATTTCTATGTGCTCTGGCTGTTGAAACACACACTTGGAAACTGTCTTCCTCTTACACTAGATGGATTGTAGGAATCCAGCAAGGAGAAGAGATGTGCTTTGGTTATGAAAGCTTTACAATAAGAGTCTTTTACAATGGAAACTATGCTGCAGGTTTATTGTGAAGATGCACGGTCACCAGATAGAATATGGTGGTGGTGACATGGACTGTAATGATGTGGTGAGACTCCAAAATTGTTTTAGTATAATGTACCCAACTTCTCTTATATGTCTATATATACATACAGTACACTGAACACCACAGGAGAAATGGATAAAAATGGTTATTCAGAAATCTATAATAAAATATATACATACAGGAATCGGTAAATTGTTTATTTTAGAACTATTACTCCACCTTTACGATGTCCAAAACACTGCATAACAGATATTTGCTAGAGCATTAATCCAATTAGTTTCAACATAAGGAGTATTTAGTGTTTAAGTGCTTTTTCATCAGTGTTAATGACATCAATCTTATTTGACATTTTCTGTATTTGTGTATGTAAATATTTATGTTAATATATATCCCTATGTAGAATATAATATGAGAGAAGACATATTTTAACTAGTTAAAGGCATAGCTTCTAGTAAGTCAAGTAATAGACTGACTTGTAATCAGCATGAATCATGTTAATAATGTGGGTTTCTGCATCTAGGTAAAAATCTCAAACAAATGATTCAGTCAGAACAAAAGAAAAACATTTTATATCAATAAAGGCATGATGAGAACCAAAATAGCCAATTATGGAAAGCTTCTGTGATTCATTATATATTTTTTTTGTCAATTATGTTAACTTGTGTTGAATGATTTATATAATTGTACCTAACTGAAATATTAAAAAATAATACTTGTTTCGTTTTTCAGCTCTCTTCTTTCTTCTGTCAAAAACTATGTTGTTCATTAGTGCTGTTCGTGCAAGTCGAGTTCTCCATCACTGCATGCTTCAATCTGTGATGCGGGCTCCCATGTGTTTCTTTGACACTACTCCCATGGGTAGGACTTTAAACAGGTACTGTATGTATATCCATATATCAAACTTTTATTATCTATGTATTTTACATAAAGGACCATCACTCATGGACTTCATGAATAAATCAGATGCAGATTTTTGCCCATTCCCATTGACCCATAATTCTTACAGTTTGAGTCTTTCTGCTTTTAAAAATTGGGAATTGCAGACACCCATTGCACAGTCTCCAGTGTGTTGTTCCTCTGGACTCCCCAGTGCATATTCATATTTCTCAAGGAGGGGAGGCTGGCAGCAAATTTGGTGTTAGAATTGGAATAGACTCCAGCATATCCTATGTACTGATTGAGTCATATGTTGAATGTAAGGTCTTTTGTTTTCATTTCCATTTAGATATTTTAATTATGATGACAGAAACCTTTAAGGAAGCTCAACTAATAGATGTGCTTGGACAAATTTCTTAATTTTTACTCCATGCACACTGATCATACCTGAGTGATGAGTGCATGATAAAACGTTCAAGAAACTGACTTTTAATTATATAAGCAATACTAAAAATTAATGGTACTGACTATTCTACCATTGAAACAGATGCTGATGCGAATGGATCATCCGTTAGCTTAACTGACACCATGGACCTTCATAGTCAGTGCCTTTATCATAGAAGCAGCATGATACAGCATTTCTACTGGATTGTTCTCATTATGGTTTGATGTTTAAATGGGAAACCATCACAATTATCTTTTTCATGACTCAAAGTTACGAAATGATTATTATGTAAATGAGACCAATTTTTACTCAGGATGCACCATTTCTGATAGGAATACAAGTAAGGCCATCCAAGATGTCAACATGTGAAATCCTTACAAAAATGTAGAGTTGAAGACTGGAACATAGAATGTTGGTCAATGATTAAAAGAGGAAAACTAGAGAATGTCAAATTTGAGAAAGTGAATTTGAATGTTGTAGGTTTGTGTGAAGTAAGATTGTTGTTATAGTTGAGTAGCTGGGAGTCTGAGAGGAGTGGTAGTGTTAATTGATGAAAGAGCGGGAAGATATGTGTCTAACATTGAAACAGTAAGTGTTCAAGTGCTACTGGTAAAAATTCAAGTACAACCTCAGAATGTGAATATCATATAAATATAACACTTTGTTACAGGTTTGGAAAGGATATTGACGTGGTCGATATACAGATTCCTTTAAATTTTAATGGTGGGATTGATTGTCTTTTACAAGTTTTATCAAGTATCATCATTATCTCTGTCACTAACCCAGTCTTCATTGCTGCTGCTATACCAATTGGTCTTATCTACCTATTTATTCAGGTGAGCTTCGTTTTGTGACTAATTGTTTATATATCCATTGGTTTTTTAAAATAATAAATAGTACTTTTGTTTTTTAGGATGTTCAATAATCACATTAACGAGAATAAAAATTATAATGTTGGAATTTTAGGTTTGGTTTCCATGGCTAAAATGAAACAATTATTATGTTAATTCTATCCTAAATAAGTCCTGTTTTTGTAAAAAAAAAAGCTCTCATTTTCATATTTCTAGAATTACTTCATTAAAATGTAATTGTAAAATATAGTTGTTTCTTTATAAAAATGTTTTGTTTTAATGTTGCTAAGTTATATTATGCATATGTAATCTACTTTCCTAGAATTGTTTGATATACATTTTCTTCTGAAATATATATATATATATATTTTGTTCTGTTTGCAGTCTAATCCTTTTAAAATTACTTAAAATAAGTGAAATTTATAAAATAGAATATATTTATACATACAATCATCAACAGCAACTTGGTACAGAATTGTGTAAAGATCAGAAGCTTAAGATATGAAACCTGAAATTAAAGATTTTTACTATAGAAACTGTATATTGGCTCATCACGACAACTAAAGAGAATAGAATCAGTCACAAGGTCACCAATCTACAATCATTTCTCAGAAACACTCAATGGAACAAGCACTATTCGAGCTTTCTGTGCTCAGGAGTTTTTTATCGGTCAATCAAACGTCAAAGTGGACTTGAACCAAAATACTTTTTTCTGTCCTTATTAACAAACAGGTAAGACAAAAATTTATTAACTTGATTTTACTGTTTTATTTGATCTAGTCTGCATGTTTACAAAACTCTTGACAAAGAGATATTTAACATTTGGAGAAATAAAGTTGTTCATGGAAAAATTGTTTGTTTTTGAATTTCGTGCAAAGTTACACGAAAGCTATCTGTGCTAGCCATCCCTAATTTAGCAGTGTAAGACCTAGAGGGAAGGCAACTAGTCATCCCACCCACCACCAACTATTGGGCTGCTCTTTTACCAATGAATAGTGGGATTGACCATCATGTTATAGCACCCCCATGGCTGAAAGGGCAAGCATGTTTGGTGGGACGGGGATTCGAACCTGCGACCCACAGATTGTGAATCTAGCACCTTAACCACCTGGCCATGCTGGGCTTCATAGAAAAATATCCACTAATAATCCAGATTTTTTATCTTTAATATTAGATTGTTTTTTAAGCCTAATAAAAGTTCTTTGCTCAAGACTGTAAGATCATTATCTTTAATTGGTATTTAATTATGCATTTGTTATACCAGGCAGATTCCTATTGTGACAGAATCTACCTCTTAGATCATCAACTTTTATTACTTGTTATAGGCTTATCGTACTTGTTACCAGTTAAATACCATGATCTTTTTTTTAAGTAATCACAGCAACTTCATCGATTATTAAAAATTGTAAAGAAATCCTTTAAATTATCAAAACAATACCTTGAATGTCCAGGTAACTTATCAAATTACTTGAAAATGTAGGCTTTACTTTTAGTATTGGTACTAAAATATTCCAAGGATTGTCAAATACATAGTTATCTTATCTCCACAATATCTGAAAATCCTGGAATTATTATGTACAAGACAGGTGTAGGAATTTGTAGGTGGAAATGTCTACTCTGCTATGATTAAAGTTGGAAAATAAATAATGAAATAAGCTGTATTGAAAGAAATATTTAATGTAGGAAAACTGTACTTAAAATAAAAAATAAACTTTACTTGACAATAAACTGTAGAGAAACAAAAAGGTTGGTACATACGCAATCAGCAAGCTCAACAGGTTGAAACAAGGATGAGACTTTACGAGAGCATTTCAAGTATGCTACACTACCTCTTTTCACGGATATAGCTATTCTTGTTCAGTGCACCCTCTTTATGCAAACATTTTTTTGCATGCCACAAGTCTCGAACTCCCACATACCCCTAGATCAATGCGGTTCAACTGTTTCTCGCATATAAATCATCATGCGACAACCCTCCACTAATAGGAGTGCGACTCTACCAAACTATCACTTCTCATTTGGCAGTGCTCATGTCAAGACGTATTTCATTGCACTCTTCAATCATGTGTTTTTTTTTGTAACTTAGTGCATTTTTTTAAATTGTTTTGTAATTTACTCCAAAGTGGAATTGTTATTCTCATTTTTCAAACCTAAGGATAACGTACTTTTCTTTTTCTAGTTTTCTTTTATTTATTCTAATACTGTTGTGTTTGGTTATTCATCTTTAATGAGGAATTACCAAGTCCAAGTTACCACTTCGGAGGTAATACCATTTACCAGCACACTTACACAGGTTACAGCTAGGGGGAACTTGACTATGGAACTCTCGGCTCTCACTTGACGAGAAATTGCTTATTATATGAGTCAGACTTCTTCTCCTTAACCTCTTTGGGGCAACGAGGAATTTGACAGCCTTTTTCCTCCATCTAATTTTGCCATGTCTTTCTACACCCCTACTGCAGAATCAGCTAGGCCTAATATGGCTTTTTTTATATGATTTCTCAGGTGTATTTGTCAATTTACCCGATTTCTAATAATCCTCTTCCTTCCATGTTTCATGATAACTTGTCTATATTTTGTGTTTCCCCCTACCCAGATATTAGGGTTCATGCAGAGCATTTTGTATTTCAGATGCATGAGGACACTAGCACACCTTGCCATCTATGGGCCTCAGATCAGTTTCTTTTAGCATACCATCAGGTTGTATTTCTGTTTCTTGATTTTCACAGTTGGAATAACTTTTGCCCTGATCATCTTGTTTGTTTATCCAATGCACAGTTTCTTGCCTTTGTCTTACTCTATTGACTCTCCTACAGTACTTGTCCACTATCCACCTCCTATCTGAAGTGCTCCACAGAGATCCTGAAGGGTTTTTTGAGGGATACCCTCTTCTTGATTACCTCCACGTTAGCATGTTTGTCTTCTTTGGCCCTTTCCTTACACACGTAGCTTCTCTGTTGTTGGGATCTTCTGGGGGAGACACTATGTTGTCCCAAGTTCGTTTAACATCTACTTATCTTTTGGAATGTATTGCCTCGTTTCTCCAACTGTCTGTTTTCGGGGGTATTTCCGAGTCTTAGAATCCTGTGTATACTCTGTGAGACAGCAATCAATCCTTTCATCTTTGATTGATTGTTTATCTCATTCTGAGCATATACAATCCCATATTACTGTTTTCCATCCCGCTCCTTTCCAGCCTTTACCAATTCCTATCTCTAGGGGTTCTTCCACTTGTTGTATTCTTCAGTGAAGATGGACACATTAACAACAGTAATGGTGACTACCCTGTGGCTTCAGATCCAGCAAGGGTTCGCTTAACTGATTTTGTTCCTGTATGACCCGATTTTGCCACAAATCTTTGGGTTATTCAGGTATTATCTGAGGGACTTATCATCCTGTGTTATCTTGGGTACCTATATCCTTCTCCAGATTTATTCCAGGCTGATTGTAGTACCCAAGAAAACTGGGGACTGGCGACCTGTGATCAATCTGCCCCACCTCAATGAATTTTTGGCTCTGCTTCGCTTTATTATGGATTATTTTCTCACCCTCAGATGCACTTTTTCTCCACGTCTATGGATGACCAGGGTAGATGTCTCAAATGCTTATCTGCATATTCTTATATCTTGTTGGTTGAGGTGCTATCTTCAGTTTGTTCATCACGGGATAGTGTGTCAATTTCGCGCCCCACCCTTCAGGTTTGCTTCGGCCCCGTATGTTTCTTGTTGAGTGGTCAAGGCTTTTGCCTGACATATGCATGCTCAGGGGGTTGTGCTTACATCATTACATGGAGGACATGGAGTCCACCCATCACACTCATCAATTTCTTTTGTAGGCAACTCATGTGGGTTGATTAATCAAGTTGGTGAAGTCATTCCTTATACCTACCTACTATCTCGTCCACTTGGGTGTCTTTTTCAACACTCATCTCAGTTGGGCCCAACCTTCTCCTCTTCGACTCCATTCAATGGAGCTTTCAATTCTCCATACCCTTACTGCTCCCTCTATTACTGCTTTCGAGGTGCTGTTGCTTTTGGGGATGTGGTCTTCTATGGAAACCCTTATCATCTTGGGTTGAGCACATATGAGGTCTCTTCAGTGGACTATGCTCTGCCGATGGAGCCTGATGTGGGATCCCTTGGATGCTCCTATTTCCCTTCCTCCTTTCTTTGTCAATGATCTGCATTGGTAGTTGGCGGGTGTTCCACTTTCTACCCCTAATTCGGATTTGCATATCTTTTTCATATTTTTCACGAGTGCTTCTTTCCATGGCTGGGGGAATGAGTCAATCAGCAGGAAGCTTCATGTCAGTGGTCCCTGACCAAGAGGTCTTACCATATCAACATCCTGGAGCTTCTGGCCATACATTGTGCTTTGGTTCATTTTCTTCATCTTGCCAGGATTTTTCTGGTCATGATCTATTCTGACAATTCTATGGTGGTAGCTTATATCAAACACCAAGGTGGCACCCCTTTTTGTTCCCTTGGATCTCCATTTTTGGACCCACATTCTCTGTATTCATCTCCTTGTGTGTCACGTTATGGGTGCATTCAACCTTGTTTTGGATCGTTGTGTGGATCACCAGCATTTTATCCAGCCCCTCCTACCCTCTGTCTTTAAACCTGGTTTTTATCCAGTCCTTGGTGAGGAGATCTGGATTGTCACAGCATGTCATTTTGTTTTTAACACGTTCCATTTGCTCTTCTAATCTACGGATGTTTATCAACATAAGTGGAATGTTTTCTGCCCTTGGTCTTTGGGTCTGAGATTTTCACCTGCTTGACCCACTGTTCCACTTCTTAGGAATTTCCTCACTTGGCTGTGTGTTCAGGGGACTTCTTTTTCCTCGATTGTGGGATTGGCTGCCTTATCCCACACTTTTCGTTTTCCCTGGTACTGTAAATATTTTACCTCTTCTACCCTCTCACTATTGTTGCTTTCCTTCTGGATTATTCGACCTTCTTGGCAAGCAGTCCTTCCAGATTGAGATGTCAATGTGGTTCTTCACTGTCTTACTTTTCCTTTGTTTGAACTTTTCTCATCATGTTCGATTTTTCACTTAAGACTTATTTCCTTCTCCTCTTAGCCTGTGGACATTGTCGGTCAGATTTATTTGCCATCGACGTTTTACATTCCCTGTATCATTTCACATATGTACTTCTTTGTCTGGATTGATCTTTTCTTCCCAAAACTTCAGTGGCTCATGGGGGTAATTCCTCCTTCTCATCGATTTCCTTTCCTTCCATTTCCCACACATATTCCCAGTCTGCTTTGGATAGACTACTATGTCCCTTATGTGATCTTCTTTGTTATGTTGCCAACAAGGATTTCTTTCATGGTGCCCATTCCCGCCTCTTCATTCTGTGGGAACATTCCTCTATTCATGACCTTTCTCCTTCAACCATTACCAGTTGGGTTTGGCTAAGTTCAGTTGGCTTATTCTTCCTTGTCTCCTTCTTCCCCTAATTTGTTCCAGGTGTCTTTTCAGATTAGGCACCTTACCTTCTCCCTGGCATCTCATCTCCATTGTCTGCATACATTCATCTTTCACTATCTGCATCAGCTAGCTGTTTCTTCCTCATTAGGTTATTGTCTTCCACCTTTTTGCTTCATGGATCCCGCTCTGTGGCAAGGCCATGATGACTTAACAATTATAATTTCCATGGCCACTAAATACACACTGCTGAAATGGGGTGTTCCTCAAGACTGTTTGTAGGTTTTCCTTGTGATAT